GGGGGGGGGGGGGGGGGGGGGGGGGGAAGAGGGGATAGAAAGCTGCTGCAGTCAATTTCCCACTGCTGGAGGCCCAAGGAAAGTATTAAACCTGAACAGCTGTCAGGGAGAGGAAGCTGAGACGTATTTGTTTCAGAAGAGGAGGAGGAAAGACCAGGCCAATCGCTTGCAGGGAGTGAGAGCTTCCCAAGGGGTTTACTGTACGTGAGATTACACTCGGAGCTGTGTTCCAGTATGGTTGAGGTGCAGGCACATGTTACTGTAAAAACTCCAGTAGATGACCTCATCAGAAGTGGCCGTGATGCTACATATACCAGTATAAACCTCGATGATTTGGAACCGTATTTATTATACATGTACATGTGTTCCTTTCTACTTTGAGGTACCACTGCATTGCAGGTGTCAATATATGGGCATGTACATCATGTAGGCCCACCTTCAATGAGATTTGCACTGTACTGTGAACTGGTATTAGAGTTTGGTCCATACAACTTTAAAAACAGTGTGGATGATGTTTAAATGTGCAAACATGTATGTACATGTACAATCAAAGATGGACACTTTACGGACGTCATTGTAATTCTTGCATCTGTTTCTTTAAATATGTCTCAGTCTTTACCGTTTATGCGCAACACTGGTGAACCTTTAAAGCTGAACGTTCACACATATGCATGCTATACGCCATCACGATCCAGATGGATCAGCACTATAGAAATCCTGTATATTACAGATTAATACAATATTATAAACATACATGTACATACATGTAAACATGTAGATCCTTGAGTCAACATTTATTGCGTCGGTTGCTTAGCATCCTCCTGCGTTGTGCACCGCGGTACACTGTACATGTACAGGTGTTAATTTGTTTTAACAGTAAACGTGCCCATACATGTACACGTGGTTTGCATCAGTTTACGTGCACCTGTTTTTCTATAGCCAATATTCTGTAGCCGAGGATCGGTATGCCATCCGGCATTTTGGTTCTGGGAGAGTACATGTACTACATGCAGATCAGTTTACCCTTTTGGGTTTTTTTTTTTAGATTGAACACCTTCGTCCCGCGCTGTTTGCTGCTCGCATTCCTGCGAAGCAGTCCATCTCTCCACATTAGCGTCATGTTTACTCTACCGGGGCCCACCAGGCAACCTACATGGACACATACAGGTACACATGCATGGGGATGCAGGACTGGTGCTCGTACCGTACATTTCCTGCTTGCATGTCAATTGCAAGCAAACTGTGCGACCCAAACTTTGTGATTTTCTAAACAAGGCCAGTCTTGACACTTTTGGCCGCAGCTACCGCTAATTCTGATCAAAAATCATCCAAGTTCCTGCAATTTAGTATGCTTCATGTAAGGTGTGTTCAGGTAACTCAGATTTCAAAGTTATGCAAACATTTTCTGACAGACAAAAATATTTGAATGTGCATCAGAGTCACACGGTACCTTCTATTCACATCATTTTTTCACTCATTGAAAGTCACCTCCAATGCCAATGGAGGTTCCGTCCTTCATTTCTAGAAAATCCAGGAGAGCTGTTAACCACTCTCCTAAAATCAGTCAGGAGAGCAAATTGCTCTCCTTAAAATAAACCTAATGTTTACATGTAAGTACAAAAATAGGGTATATTGAGTTCACTGTCCATTTTGATAACATCTGTTGTCATGGTTCATTTCAATCAGTTCTAGTTTGTTAGAAATATTATATTTGGTTTCTCTCAAACAGACATGCTTATCACACTAGTGTTTTCTTTGAAAAAAGAAATTCTTTTTTAATAAAAAAATCCCTCTCAAAATGAAGTCTCACATCTGACAAGTCTTTTTATTTTCAGTATTACAACTTACAAGTGCAACAAATTATCTTTAATGGCAATAAATAGAACAGAATTCCTTACTGAAGCCTGATACCTCCACTGTTTTTGCAAAATGACTGGCGCAAGCTGGAAGAGATTCAATTTCACGTTCTGGTGCATCAATTCTCCAGTTAGCTGGATTCACCCAAAACAGAAAATGAGCATCATGCACGTGAGCGAATCCATATCCGTCGTGGTGATCATGAGAGTGTTGCACACAAATATTGTCCGACACGTTGAGAGAATCTCCTGCACGACGTCGCTTCATAGAGCCCCATAGTCGTAGTGTAGGCACGCTATCACCACTCAGCGTAACAGTTTCGTGTGGACCGAAATCTTAAGGCACACCGGTTGTGCACTGAGCGCCCTCATAAACTTGATAACGATTGGCTGTTGCGGATCAGAAACTTGCTTCTGGCCAATAAAACAGGAGTAAGATTACTGTCTCTCCAGCTGACTGGGGTCAGGTTACGTTTGTTGTGGGTATTTCAAACTCGGAAGAAAAAGCTTCGAAATGCAAGTTTTACAGGAACCACACAGTCATGGTTTTGAAGATTATTTCCACCGTTTGCTGTAATATTGTTCAAATATTGAAATGTCCTCTTCAACTTTTCAAGGAGCGCATTTTTTTACACTCCTCAGGCTTGATAAGGAGCGCGGTAGGAACGACTGCGCGATAGCATTCCTCAAAAATGAAGGACTGGAGGTTGTGAGCTTAAAATGGAATCCCAGCTAAGGTACTGCTGTCCCAAGTGATTACTTTCATTTCTTTATACGCTGTACAAGAATTTCCCACCGATAGACATGTATGCAACAAATGAAAAAGCTACCAATATGAAGGCAGCTGACTCTCAATGCACCACAGAAAGATTCACACGCAGCTATATAATAAACAAAGGAATATGTAAATGCACAGGTACATATGTATGTACATGTACCATACTTGTCTAAAGAACAGACTTGCAACCAAACAACAGCAAAGCCTTTTTCAGATATTGGCTTTCATTCCCACAGAATGTAAGGGCAGCAACGTGTAAACGTACATGTACATGTATGTACATGCAGGCAGATGCCTTCGTCAGTTCACTCCGTCTTCTCCAACCCTTTCCTTCCAAAAACGCTGCAGAAACTTTAAGGAAAAGCCTGTCAAATAACACACTAACTTTGCCAATATCAGAGGGTTTATCCCAATAACCATTTCACTGAGAATCAGGGCAAGGCATTAGATATCATATTACCAATCTGAATGCTATTCATCAAAGAATGTCCCCAAGGCCCCTTGGTAGCGCTGGATTCTTGAATGTAATTTATGAGACACATACATTTACATCCAGGAGCACACTTCTGCACATATGCTTGAAATCTTTTTCCATCTGCCCCCCTTCCCCAGTGTATTTATAAATGGCGACACACTGACACATACATGTAATCCGGGTGCGTGTAGGCAGGAAAACAATTTTATTTTGTAGCATTTTATGTTTATCTGTATTGGTCTTTATAATGGAAGTATCTCTTTTTATTTCAGGGAACACTTTATCCCTTAATGGCATTCTGTTGAATTAATTTCAAAATTTACTAGTTTCATTAGTTTTAATTTATTAGCTAACCAGATAAAACCTCATTACTTGCAGCGGGTTTGCTACAATGATTTTTAAATTCCCATGAAAGACTGGCGATAAAAACTCTGAGGCTGGTATATGGGTAATTCCAGAAATCAAAGAGTCCGAAAGTGACATTTTTGCATCCCTATTACATCTGACCTTTGTTATTTGACATGGAAATATCACCGGAATTGATTTCAAACTATTACTATCTGTTTGGCAATCGCTCTTGGAAATTAGAAAATGTGTTCTGAACTTACAAAATGATATGTCAGGTGTGACCAGGACACACAAAAAATGGACCCCTAATTTCTGGAATCACCCATATACATATACCAGTACCTTTTATGGGTTACCATGAACACGTTTTTGTTTTTCTCGTTTGGTCTCAATCAGATTTCCAGATGATGTTATGAAACACGCCTGTTTGTAGGGTGAATCATCCGAATGTGAGGGGTAAAAGGGTGGGATGAGGATTGAGGGGCAGGAGATGAAGGATGGGCTTGAGAGTGGGGGGGGAGGAAGCAGGGGCCAAGAGCCAGGTTGGGAATGGGGTAGGAGAGTAAGATCAGGTCCAGGGTTCTAGCTGCGGTGGGCGGCGCCGGGCGGCACCACCCGGTACTGCAAATTTCCGCCCAGCACTCAGGGTTGTAATTGGCTGTGCCACCCAGCACGGATTTTCCAAAAAACGAACTGAAATATTACTGAAAATCTAAATGTACCAATTCGATCGTATTTCAAGCATCAGAAAGCATTAAGAACTGCGCTCACTTTGCGTTGCAATCCAAAAATTTACCCGGCACTAAAATGGTCCTAGCTAGAACACTGATCAGGTCATCACTCCACAGTACCATACCTTGACTTCTTTCATGAAGACGTCTGGCCTTGTGGTATTGCACAGCAGTTTCTTATATCTGTGGATTGCGCGTTTCCATTGCAAGGAGTGAAGCCACTGGTCACGAACGTAGAGGTTGGTCGCCTGGTGTGCATAGAAAAGAGGAAAAGAAGTGGGAAAAGCATATGCATACACACAAGTGCATGTACCGTACGATACATACATGTACCTATATATTTCAGCACTAATCTCTCAACAGAAATACATGTAGCCAGCTGTGATGATGTCAAGACATTACTTTGGGTTGGTCATTTGCATATGTATTGTGGAATTTAGCTGCGCAGCAACTAAAGGAAATTGAGCTGGGACTTAACTTGCGCAGGTATTCTTACACTGGATAGTGGGCACGTGTAAAAACTGACACCGGTACATTACATGCACATGTACTGGTACCCTGTCAAAGATCACACAGTACAAAATTTACGGAAAATATATGTACCGTACTGTACATGTACATGTACAGTGTATGTACTGAATTTGTTGGTTACAAACTATCGTGAAAGATGTGGGCTATAATATACTATGAACGCACACTAGCACAATTACCCGTATACTGCAACATATAGCCCATTTTCAGTAATTTTGCTGCTTCGTGGCCCCTAGCATTCAGCAAACTTGCTTCCTGCAGTTACTAGGCAGTGATGAAATTTCAATAATTCTTTCAGTACCAAATAACACGTACACAAATTCTTTGGTGCATCAATGCATTCAGGACTTTTGAAAAAAAAAAAAAATCAAACCCTCAAAAATGTTTAGCAGCCATCTGGAAACTTCATAACCATTTTTTTTTTAATTTAAAGAGTGACTGCATGCAACACTGCAAATTCAATTGAATCTTGACAATCCAATTGATGCCTGGATGCGGTAGACCTTGCCGTTCAAATCAATCCCATTCTACACCGTCAATATGTGATTTTAACACGGCCCAAGGGGAAGGGAATGTTGACGGTCAACAGCACATGTGGTTTTATGTTTGAAAACTCTATAGGTGCAGTTTGGAGGATCACTTAGGCACAAATCCTGGCTCGAGACACGATGTGCATGTACATGTATGTACTATCTGCACACTTACGTTTGTACGACTGTCTCCTCCCCCAAACCGTTAGAGATTGTGTCTTGATCGAGCATGTGATATGCAAATGATGCAAGGCAGGCAACCTTGGTATTAATTTCACCAGACAGTTTGGCTAGACGAGAGACCCGCATCCTGTCGTGGGGCCTCTTTTAAGGGAGTTGTTTGGCACAAAACACTGCACAGCAAATTCACGTACTTACGAGTATCTAAAAATCAGCTTAGAGAACATGACACACCGTAAACGTCATATTTTGCCCGGTGCCCTGCTATTGAGTAAGTCCACCAAAAGGTCCCCTTTTTGTCCAACACAAAATGCCACTGTTTCTTCAATTACACAATCGCCACAGAGATTGGTGGTGCAAAACCTCCTCTGGGTATTCTCTGTCCAGATGCCCAAAAGTACGATAAAAAAATTCTGCAATCCATGAATGTCTTCAAGTGCAAAACGTCCATTCCATGTACCGGTACTAGTCCGTATGGGACATTAAGTGTGCCAAATCATGTCCTATTGCCAATGCTGAGGAAATCCCATTTGCCTTAGAGCCATTTTTCAACCTCATCACTCCAAGAAGGGGCCCCTGATGCCAAGTGGGCTCAGTGTCCAAGAGACATGCACATGTACATGTACGCCTTCAAAGTTTGACACTGTAGACCCCAAGGCTCAGATGTCTCCATCTTACCTGCAGTAGTATTGAGCCCGTGTGCAAGACGATACGCAAGCAAGCGCTCTGTCCGGCCTCCCAACGCGTCAGCGGATGGATGTCTGTTATGCTGCAGTACGGCAGCGGGTACTCCATAAAACCAGAGGGCTGGAGGGAAAGTGGGGTGCATACAGGAACAAAACAAGAAAGAGGTTAGTTCATTCCTCCAACTTGAAGACAGCATTGTCAGACAGTAACTTTGAGCATGGCAAACAACTTGATGTTTCCACTTTGAGCGGTACTGTTGACTTCTCAATATCTCTGCACTACAAGTAAACAGGCCAGATTTCACCAATTCACTTGCACAGGCTGCAAACATTTAAGGGCTAATGTAACGTACGTGTACATGTTTAGTGCTTCAGGACCTACATTCACTCAGTTCACCCTTCATGTAACATTCATAATGTGATCCCTTAAAAGATTGTGCTCTGGTGTGACAAGAGGTTTACTAGTTGGACACATCCCAAACTTACACTTCTCACACATCTTTGGAAAGTACATGTACATGTAGCTGGGGCAACTGACTTTTATCTGAATGTGCACAAATGTACATGTAAACATCTATGAGCACATTGTAAAAGTGCATAATATGCAAGGCGAACATTAGCAGCAACATGCAAATCAGTTTTCTCCCTTTGCAAACCACCATTGAGAAGGTGCATCTGTAATGACTTTATTGCAATCATGATAGTCCAAAAAATATTTCCAGTTTCTAACACAAAGTTGTCTTTTTCTGAAAAAAAAATCAGAAGGAACAAACAACTTGAATATTCATGGCTAGCGTGCATGCACATTATGTACAATGTACATGTATGAAGACACCATGCCAGTATCAGTTGCGCAAGTTGTACATGTACATGTGTAAGGGAAAAGCCAACTACTGTCTATACCTACAGGTAAGCCGAAATACATGTATATACAACGTAACAAAACTATGGGAAAACCACATGTGTAGAAATACTTTTCAAAGAAACCGAAGAAAAACTATCGTGTGGCTTGCAATATGAGTTCATATGCCACATCATACTCTTGTACATGTATATTAATCATTACCATCATAACCCCTATATTGCAATAAGTGTAATATTTCTGTAGAAATACATTTCAAAGAAACCGAAGAAAAACTATCGTGTGGCTTGCAATATGAGTTCATACAGTATGCCACACCATACTGGTACATGTACATCATGTACATGCACACATACAAATGTACATGTACATGTAAGTCTTGTACATGTACATGTATATTAATCATTACCATATTGCAATACATGTATACAAACATGTACATGTATGTACATGTACACACGTACATGTTATACGCCTACATGTATAACATAAAGTTTTTATAGTTGTACAAACACAATGTTTGACCTCAATTCTACTGGTATTTAGTCACTGGTATTTTGTGGCACAAACAATGCCCTGTGTAAGACTGTGTGCAAACCACGTTTATACCCATCTCCCTTGAATACACTGTATGTAAGTGCATGTATACATGTAGAAAATGCTTATTACCACTAAAGGGTGGAGAATGCCCTGTCCAGTGGTAATTGAATGGACAGGTGCATGTCTCACAAGTGCTAAACCAATTATTCATGTTCATTTGTTTTTCGTGTGCTTTGAGCATGTACATGTGCATCTTTGCCTTTAGTAATGCTCATCTGCACATGGGTGTATTTTTAAAATGTATGTGGGTGCGTATGTGCATTTACATTGATTAGATGTACCGGTGCACCGAAAATTGGCATGCCAACTGCATAAAAACCACAGCCAATAAATTTCATTTACCGGTATATATTCATTCATTCATTACGGTTTATTTGAAAGAAAACATCAAACAAAAAGTCACATGATTAAAAGTGTTTGATTTACAAAAATTGAGTACAAAACAGCTTTAAAAGATCAATTAAATTACAATAAATACATTACATTAAAAACACTAATAAAAATACACCATTATCAAACAAGTAGGTTTAAAACATGCCGCAGAAGGGAATTAATTATGAGGGAATCTGGAATTTATCATTTAACAGTTTTGACATGTACAATTGTATATAATTGGACTCTGTTGGTATCTTTGTGTTCTGCAGTATGGTACATGAACATGTATATGCAGTATAGTATATTGTTGTACATGTACATGTACAACAATTTTTTATGTGGCATTTAACCATCTCTACGATCAATTAACACATAAACATGCAATGCGGAAGACGTCAACAACTGAACTGTACGGTGTTGTTAAAGAAAACACATTCATCATCATCACAATAGTCATGACAGAGTGCATCATAAAACAAATTTTATTTACCAAGTCCAGCTATTTATACAAATAACACATCCTGGCATCCATGTACGTAATTGCACATAGCAACTCTTTTTGTCAACTGTGGGAAAAAAAATATATATTTGTTGCTGTTTTGTGTTTCCCAAGAGTGTAATAATGCATTCCAGCACTGCTCATGGACGGAGGGAGACAGACACAAACTGCATTCATTTATTGATGCTTTTGATGCCTGTGTGCACAATCTATGTTACCATGGCAACTGGCTTCTTACCGGTACACGTACGCATACAAAAGGTGCTGCAGCTTTACTGATGATTACGGCACTTTGGCTCAATTAGTGAGCCTCAGAAATTTATACCGGTACATGGAGCTCCACAGATCATTCCTAGCTGCAATTTTGGCTCCAGTGACCACAGTCTACAGTTCACATATCATAATCTACAGTGACTATTCTTCTTCACTTGTTCAAAGTTGTTGCATCAAATTCCATTTGCAATTTCCACTTCAGCAACCTGTCCAGAAAACAGCTCTGTGACTATCCCAACCCAAGACATGCAAGAACGCTTGTATTGTACAGTGTGCATGTACCCGTACTGTACACGTGTACAAGTACAAGGATGTGTGGAACTCAAGGGCTCAAATGAGCAAGATTATTTAGGTCATGGGATATGAATTCATACTTGAACCGGTAATGGTAGCTAAGGTACCGGTACATGTACCTTAGTGTACCAGTACACATACCGGTAAGTGTAGAGTCCCACCTCTGACGTACAGTATATGTACATTTACCATATGCATAGCCCATGATGTTTAGCAAGCTAAAGCTGAACCTGATCAGCATACGTGGAATTTACAGAAAATGTAGGGGCCCACACAAAATTCACGAAATTGTGTATAAGCACAGAATAGAAAACTCACTCTAATGAATACGGTACAGGTACATGTATAGTGCATGTACAAGTTACGGGTACAGTACATGTAATTTATGCATTGCAGATTTATGCATGTCCCTGACAATAAAACATCAAGTAACTTCAGCCTGGTTTATAATGGCTTGGAAGAGGCATCTACATGTACATGTACATGTACCAGCAACCTGAAAGACCGCCCTGCACAATTAATCATGGCCATACTGCATGGTTTAGCAGGACTAAATTAAGAATGTTATCAATTAGTGTCACGCTCTGGATAGGGAAAAAAAAAACAAGTTTTGGTTAAATTAACAGCTTTGAAGGAACCTGCCTCACGTGTAGATCACATTACACAGATAATGAATATGTTTTAGGAGTGAGATGGTAGGGAGAACTTCACGAGTGGACAGACTCATTGTTTCATTCCACAAGGCAACAATATAAAACTCCATCTGTCACTTCATGAAATTATTCTTTGCACTGCAAAAAGGTGGACCATTCATCATTTGTGTTACACAGCACCTGAATAAATCACCTGTAAACTCTTTATGCAAGTCGCAATCAAATGTTCTCATGTTCCCCTCCGCCTCAGTTCACACTTAAATAGAGGATCCTATGATCTTACTTTTTTTGACTACCTGTTTAATTTCTTTCTGCTGTAAAAACATTTGTAACCGTTATCAGAAATGTCCACATCTGACAGATCTGACAAAATGTTAGTCATATTTTGCGCCTATCGATATCACCCAAATCTTCTGTATTTGTGTGCAGGGCCGTCAATGTGTCCACTGCACGAATGCACACTGTGCCACGCTCTTTCTGTGTTGGAAGAGCCGCAACCGTGCATACCACGCTCTGACGCTTGCACACAGTGAAATGGTATCATGCATGGGTGTTTTACCCATGGTCCTGCCCAGGATAAATATCAAATAATTTGTCATACTGGTATGACCTAGACATGTTCGTGTACAAGTCACAAAATCAGACGACAGGTGTTGTGTAAAAGGTACATGTGCATAGGCTACCCTTCTGCATATGTGCACATGTACATGTACCGCAGTACATGTACATGACCAAATATAAATATGAGCACAAGCAACAACAGCAGTAACATTTGCGTAACAGTGCAGTGGAAAAATAGTGCAATGTAAAACTTGTTCTTTGATCGTGCCAATGGCTTCTTCTTCATTTAAAAAGAAAATCACTACAGGTATGGCTTGCCAAATACATGTAGATATAAATGGTGCCCCTCCCCCAATGTGGGTATTGTGGGTTGCTTTCAGTGCCTAATTCATTTCTGTCACAGTGATGAGGAGCTGACATATCCTGTTACCAGATTTATTGCTGAGGCCTCAAAGAGACAAATTGGTAACTCTATCCTGGCTTCATTTTCTTCTGGAGGGACGCAGGTGCCAAACCCATCCCGGACATGTCACACATACATGTATACACATGCATGTTTTCCACAATGGCAAAATTGGATCCTTTGCATCCACTGAGGCCTCACCGATGACGTGCATAAAAGAATGCAATACATACATGTATAAATGTACAATAATGAACTACGGTACAATTGTACATGTACATGTATGTAGTGTAGTTATTATGGTACATGTACTTGTGCAATGTATGTACAGTACATGTATGATGTAGATGTATGCATGTACATGTAGCTCCAAGGCAAGAGAGAAATACGAGTATGCTCCACTCTTTCACATTTTCAATGATTTCCCTTTAACATTCCTTCTTTGTTGCAAACTGTGGACACCAGAGTCAGATGTGTATACATCACCGTGGATTCCACACACTCTTAATACCTTTCCTTGATGATACATGTACATGTAAACTAACACAAGCTCTCTTTGTCAGAAGGTGTGTCTCTGAGTTCACCCAACATTTCTCTTGAAATGGCCATGCGCATGAAAAAGAAAAATTCCACCACCTGCCTGTACATGTACATGTACAATGTAGGTACCGGGTAATCTACCTGCATGCAGTGATTGATTAATTAATGAGTAACATAATGCCTGCAGGCCCATTTGAAAACATGTTTACTGCAGTTTTTTGGGGTTGTGCATGCAATGTGTTATCTGGGTCATTTAAGTACCCTTCATATGCACCTGCAGCTGATCTGTTAAAAAAAGACCTGCTATACTGTGTATACAGTTACAGTAGCACTTTCTGCAAATTTAAATAAACAAAAACATTAAACAATATACCCAAAAAAAGTGGAACCTTATGGAAACAATTACAAGTGAAAATATGCTTGTTTGTAAGTTGTTTACTTTTTGCTTAGGATCCGTCAATTCCCTAATGGCATCCTGTTCCTTCATTCTATGCACAAGTGAGTGAACTTTAACCACTTCCCATGAAATCACTTTAAGGGAAAGCAGGATGCTTAAGGATTATGCAGGAACGATCTGTCCTGTTGAATACACAGCATATACACATCGTAACTGCTACATGTATGTGTTTGAAATTTGGCAATTGAATACACATGGATACTTGGCCAATAATATGAATTACCGGTACCTTCAAAAGGTGGTCAGATTTTTTCTACAGACTAAACCGGATTGTGATTTTGTACAACAAATTGGTTTCAGTGGGTGATCAGATTTGATTCTAAATAAGTTTTTTCCCCGGTACACGTACCACCATTTACATGTACAGCAAAGCATGCTCGTCTGTTCATAACACACAGTGACCCTCACACTGACCTACATATACCTGTATTAGGAAGCACTGCACACTCTAGTGTATATTTCAATGAACAACCTGGATACCGACACCTCCTCTGCCCCAGTCACGGCAGGAGTGATAATTAAAGCCAAAAACGTACACAATTTCACATCAGCCCTACCAGTACAGGTAGAATACATACATGTACATATGTACAGCTGATTCTTATGTTATCATTTCTGATAATTGATACCAGCAACACCTTCACTCAGCAAACAGCACAGCTGTAGTGTAGATGCTGCTCTGACAGGTTAATCTCCGTGCATGCTGTCATCCTTCTTATCATGCATCTCTGTCAGACCCCTGTATGTGTTTATCTCTTGTCCAGTAAAGGGAACACACTGGGGCGGATGATAAGGCAAACTGATCTCACTCCCCCCTCTGAAATTAGAATTCCCTGAGTGATGGTAAGATTTCTTTGGAAGCAGATGACTCACATGACTGATTTCTTCACTCCCATGCCCCCACCCCCCTCCCGCTATTCCTACATATTAAACACCGTGGTTCATAAGCCTCTGCACATACATGTATCGCACTGTATATACATACATGAACATGTACTAATCATCTCTAATTTGCCCTACTGCAGTTACATGTAGCTGGCGTAGTCAATGAATAGATCTATGCTTGATTCACAGTTCAATCAAATACATTGTAAACAAAGTGCTGTAAAATGAACCTGCAGTAAAGTCGTGTCAAGTTGTGGTACTCAAAACATACATGTACCTGTGCGGCACATTATAGGTTTCAGATGAAAACTCATCTGTTTTAAAGGCCAAATTTCTCATTTCCCCAACTCCGCGATATCAATGACTGTGTTTCTTCTCGGACATTTGTCTTACAACCTTGCAAAATCCAGTGGAAGGAGAGCTCTTCCTGTACACCCATGCGAGTGCTTGGTTTACGTATACTTTGAAAAAAGTCCTTCCAAGGGAGATGGTAGACTGAAAGGCACGAATTTGATGCCAAAAGTGTTCTATCATCAACTCATTTGGGTGCCCGACAGGTCATCAGAAAAACAAAAGATGGCATCATCTCAATGGCTAATTTCATAATTAGTAGGCCGAAATCACCTTACTGACAATTAGTGGGAGACGTCTTATTTCTGTCTAAGACACACTTAGAGTACAACTTGAATAGAAAACAGACACCATCAAGAGTGAAAGTAGCACATTCCGATGCGTGAAATATAGTAAATGACCTTTTCCATCATCAATTCAATCTCGAATGGTGTGCAAGTGGTGCAAATAATTAAGCCAACAACAGGCACACATTCTGAAATAAAAAAAGACAACAAAACAAACAAAACATCTACATGTGAGGGCACTTTTATTTTGTCTTTCCTACAATGTTCCTTGACCTTCCATTATCAAAAAATTAATAAAACAATTACTGCTTTCTGCTGAATGAGAGTGCACAGCTCAGCTCCACATGTAATGTAAAACAGTTACTGAAATGCTTTGGTTCTATTTTGATTTCGTTTTCTTTAAAAACTTTCAAAACCCTTTGTTTCACCACCTGAAAGGTCACTAAGTCATGGCGAATGCTGGTTATAACAATATGTACATGTAAGTAACTAATCCCAGAATTCGGAACCCTCCCAAATGAGGTACTATAACGTAAAAACACAAAATACAGGGCTTCTGTGCAGAACAAGGAACACAGCTATTTTGGACTCTCAGTATTAGTCATTGTAGCCAATCCAATAACAAAGGTTTCACTTCCTGTTTTCCCTTGCCCTGTGCTTCTACCTATGCCGACCAACAGCCTGATTTGCATTTAGTGCTCGTCTTCCCCAGGGGCTCTGTTAAACATTCACAGAAAACCATCAACTGCAGAAATTTTCTTCTGGTTTGAACACACAGCGAATACAATTTTCCCTTCCTACAAAAAAACCTGTGTGCATCATAACACGCCAGCTTTGGGGCACGACTCCACATCAGCATTCAGCAATAGAAAAAAGTATTTCATAAGCTGGGTTGCACAGTGTACTACACTTATATTTTCACAAAATGGCCTTGTTCATAAAAAAAAACATGAACAAGAATTTGTTCATTATCAGGCCCACTAATTCGGCTCTTTTCGAGTTGACTCAAAAATGAGTACATTGAGACAATGTCTACAAAAACATGTTTTTATGTCAATATGCTCATTATATAATTTTACTGCAACACTTAATGAGCATAATACATGTATTGGTACATGATGTACATTACATGTATGTGTACAGCACTAAATGCACAAAAGTGAACTCACAAAAATTATGCACGCAAATGACCAGAACACAATCAATCATCTCCAATATACCGTATATGTCTGTCATAAAAAAAAACTTGTTTCAACAAGTCATTCATTGCACTTAACTGACATGATTTCAATGATGAAGACAGTTCAGTTAAATGTTGATTTTGTTTCATTCAAAGCAATATCACTTTATCAAGTATAGGCCTATACATATTTACAAACACGATCAAGCACATCTCAACAAGATTTTACTGTTTTCACTCCACTGTAACTGTACGTATATTCTCACCATTTACTTAAGTTCTTATTTTAATATTCGACCAAAACTTCAGGCCCTGAGGACATTCAAATAAATTAGCCGATATACATGTACTGTCAAGTGTCATGTTCATTTATGATTTAGGAATAAAACACACAAGTAGGCCCTAGGTTGCACCAAAAATACGGGAAGCAGACCAAACAGCAAAAACTTCTGAACATAAAAGCCCATTCAAAAACAACCCATACGAACACTTCACATCCAATGAAATTTAGTTCATTGTTTTAATATAACATTACTCGCTCATGTTATTTCCAAGAAGTTTAGGCCTACCGCCGTATGCAGGAATTTTTGTGACTACTTACTGTTAATGAATACAGAGTACTCTCTCCCAGCACTATCTGATGCATTTCCCATCTTCGGAGAAATTTCATGTTCATTATTTTGTTCACCACATTGCTCGCGTGGTTTATTCGGCACACTTGTATCGCACCTTCGTGCAGCATTTTGTACTTGAGTTCACCACAATTCACCGTTCCGTTCGTCTGTGCCATACCTGCCGTCCAAAACCCTGCCGTGGTGGATGGTGGCTGAAAAAACCTTGCCGTGGAGAAAAAACAATGCAGCCAAGTCGATTTAACCTACCGAAAGTCGACCAGTGAAGTCTTACGGCGTCACACTGACTTAACGTTGGCTACCTTTTAACAAATCACTTTAGGCCCGAAAGAGAAACCAAAACGAGTTTGGCATTCCAAGATTACGAACGCTAGTTGCTGGGTGAATTGACAGCTACGAAGCCACAGCAGCAGGCGTGTAATGGCCGAAAAAATGTCGGTAGCGAGCTACAGGCTGAGCTGGAGATCGCAACCAGCGGGAACGATCATGGTACGAAGATCCACCAAAAACGTGCGGTTAACTCTCGACTTTGCCGTGTACTGTCCGCATATTAATGCAGCCGGTAAATCCTGTAAAGAAATTGGAGTTGAACAGATGCTGCTTAGAAGCGAAGTTAATTCCCAATTGTTCCTTTCCACAAAACCGTTTGCTATGATGTCAACATTCGCAAAATTACGAACCGCGGCCATGCACGAAGCTATCTGGCCGATCTGCGTATCCGGTGCGGTGGTGGGATGTGATGTGATTATATATGCATTGAAAATGATGCGCGCGCATATTTTATTATAAACTCTCTTTTAAATTATGGTATGTAGCTTTAATACATTGGACAAGAAAAGACTTTTATTGTTCATGATACCGTCAGTAGAGACTGTCAGTCGCGTTCAGTTTAAAGATTGTCATTCAGACCTCAAACAAAAATATACACGATAGTGAATCACAAATTTTCTTTACAGACTTATCATTTTGATCAAAGTGACAAGAAATTTGTCGTAAAATTTGACCATGGAACAGTGGCGTATCCAGTAGAGTGGGGGTGGGGGCAACTTGCCCTTCTCCCCCCCCCCACTCATAGGAAAGAAAGTAATCGGTATATTTATTTATTAAATGTTAGCACCAGAACCCGACGAAAATAACACCATGAAATAAAAGCGAGGATGTTGGGACAGCGAGTATAACATTATCATGTTTAATAAGCCCAAATCAAAGCCACACTCGCTTTTATATTTGCCCCCCCAACAACAGCTGGACACGCCGCTGCCAAGCAAACCGTTGAAGTTGGTGAGTTGTTGTTATAATGGCGCTTTCAGTCACTAAGGCTATTAATGCAAATAACTGTAGGCCTATACGTTTATTCATAACCTTTATAAATCAGCATCACATTACGGAGTTAAGAAGAAGGTCCAGTTTTAGAGGCAGGAGGAAACCGGAGTACCCGGAGAAAATCTGTGAGAGCGAATATGGACTGGAAACCAAATGCACTTAAACTTAAAGCTTGGGCCAAGCCAGGACTCAAACCCGGGCCTCATTGGTGCAAAACGAGGAAAGAACAGCTTCGCTAACCCGCTCACCCGCTCGCCCCTCTCTTCCCCGTTCCTCTCCCCTCCCACTCCCGCGTTGGTGTGACTAGTTCCTGTGTCTTATATACATGTCAAGGGCGTAGGCTGCTTTGGCTCAGGGGTATGCAATTTTTAAGAAAACGGACCCGGAACTCCTACTTTCAGCATTTAGACGAGGAAGGCAAGTGCGCACGGGAAAAACAGATGCTACCAAACCCTCTCCCATCACAATAAATTCGTCTTCAGTTTGGTACTTCTTCTAATAGCTTGTCCACAAACATCAAATATACTTCAGCCATTGTTGGACGCATTTATTTGGGGCTATATCAATGTAGACTGCGAGGTCATCCGCTGTGCACCGGCTTGCTCTAAGACAGGACACTGGAGGAGATGTTGCATGGTCTGGGGTGCAGTTCTACAATCGTTGGTTACATCTCCGGCAATATCCAGATATCCCCATTTCTAGTTGGAACAGCCCGTAACACTACAGTCCTGAGGCGGTTGAGGAACTTCCAAGTTTGCACTTGAATCAGAGAATGAAAGTGTTTCTTAACAGCTGAGATCCGTCTTGTAGACTGCCATTTGGTTTCAAAATAAAGAATATAAGCACCCCAAGCGGAACTCCATTCCGCGAGCGGGGAGGGGGTTAATCTGCACCCGAACACCCCCCCCCCCCGCCGCCTATGCCCATGTATGTATCAAGAAATTGATATCTGTCTGACATTCAAAGGTTTGATTGAAAAACCTGCCCGATCCCCGAGTTCTTTTTCCCCTACTGATTATTAGTCAACAGTGTCTCTAGAATTTGACATTTTGTTGAGATCAGTTCACTATTAAAACCTGCCTCCATCTTGAAACTTGACCAGAGTTAGAGAATGCTACTGCGTGAATTTTTCACCGAAGATATAAAATACCCATAGAGAGCTATTAAAAATATATATATACCTCTACGAAAATACCGCAAACTGTGCTTCCTTAGACTTTGGAGGACACTTTCAAAGATGGATGGACGGATTTTTCAAATTATTATGTTGATACTGCAGGTGTTACAAAACCTGTCACTATGATTTTACCCGTACCATCTCTCAAGGTGATACTGAATTAGTGAATACACAGCCCAGGTTGAGACTAAACTCTCAAACTGATTGAATTTCTGGTGTGTTACATCACATAGGTCAAATCACAAAGGACGTAAGCGACTTTCACCAAATTCATCTTATGACGGCCCGGCATTTCGGAGTCCTCCGATTATTAAGCGTATATGCGTGTTTTGTTCGTCCCCACGGGGCACTGGGAAGTGGGATGGCAGGGGAGGATCCAGGAATATTTCCGGGGGGGTCAGGCCGTCAATATTTCTTTATGTTCAATAGACCGATTGCACCCGCCAAGTCACGTGACCTATAATGGGTATTCATTATCAACAACACGGTGTCCACCAAGAGCAGTGTTTCATAATTATGTATCATTTACCAAAAATAAAGCCTACTTGCCATACTTAGACCACTAATGGGTACTACACGTAAATCGGCTTTGTAGTTTGAAAAACAGAACTCAAAACACACGTTGCTATAGGGTTGACGCCCACTATTGGTCACGTGACTTTAGCGGAAGCAATCGATGTATTGTTGCAGACAGGCGGACACATGGCGTCATCAACACCATTAAGTATATGTACTCATCCATAGATGTGTGCGCCGCTTCAGCGCGCCGGTATTTTACCAGAAATGTGTTATTTCATTTTCACGAAGTAGCACTCGGTGTCGTGCGGCACGTGCTCTGTGAATTGTCGTTTTCAGGAATTAACCTCTTCATTAATTTAAACAGTTAAACGAGTTTTAAGAGCATCTCTAGTTAAGTCACATATTTATGGGTGAATCATATCACTTTAGACCTTTCAAAGTGTTTTTATCCATGTTTATATATTGACAAAACACACATGAGCAATACTCGATTGCGAAATTGCTGTGAACACGGTTCTCACGAAGTAGCACGCAAGTGCAGTTGAGTGCTACTTCGTGATGTTGGTGACGATAGGTAGGCTAATGCAGTTCTTAATTGTATACATGTACAATGATCCTCACGAGACATCATTTGTTTTAAGCATAAATTCATTTTCATTTCTGAATTTATTTATTCGATTTTTTGTTACCAGAGTGGGAAGGGTTTTCATCCCAGCCTAGATAGATCAATCCCATTCACAGAACTTGCGAAGCATTGTGGTTCCATCAGTGCACATCTCGCGGGTCATGCGCACACTGTAGCGGTGCCTGTGCAGTTCGTGGCTGGCCACGTGGGCGTTTAACTTCCGGTTTAATGCCTCCCCCACGCGCGCCATAATCTCCAAGAATTGTATCCGCGTCGAGCAGAAGCGCCCCCTCATCGATTGGAAGAGCTGTGTGGGTCTGGAGTGTTCATTACGTACCAGCGAGGTTCAGTTCCGACGAAAGGAGCCTCGCCCTGTTGCTAAGAAAAAAAAAGCGCCCTCTCTTGGTCCAGCTCCAGGTTCATTCCTAAAAAAAAGGTATTCTATCACTATCAGTAATGACGTGTCTTCGCCTCTTAAAGCTTGGTCTTAGATAGCGTATTCATATAATCGACTGCCCTGATTATAAAATCATAATAATCACTCCTATACTATTCTCATTAAATGCCTCCCTCTTTGCGTATAGTCTTTAATATACTGTACATAATGCACCAAGTAAGACTCAGTTTGTGCACTAAAAGCAGAGATCGAGTTGTTAAGGCTTTTCATTACTATGATGTAAAATATATACTTCCGGCATGATCAGTTCTACTAGAGATTTCATGCAGGAAAGAAATTTATCACACTCTTGCCACCCTAGAAAAGATTTTAGGAAAGATGGAAACAAATTCATGGACATTTCCATCATGGGGCAAAGAAATTACCGCGATTCTGAAACCTGCTCAAAGCAGTGATACGCCACGATTTTCTTATTCATTGCTTCGGACCATGATCCTCAGACCCGCACCGTGCAGACAATTCCATCTATTAAGCCCTTTGCAAAAATAAAGAGCCTTATTAGTACCCCTCCTTTAGTGACGTCATTTTCCCTATTAACTGAGTCGATACGCAGTCCGGAAGTGCAATTTAGGGATAATAATGAGATATTTTCTATCAACCTGACATGTAGGCCCTCTTCTACGTTCGGCCTGAGTAAGGCCCATACGAGTAATTAAATTGGTCTCGAATTACCTTGCATTATATTAAGTGTGACGTGACAAACAGAAATCTAGAAGAAGTTGGAACAGGGAAAACGCATAAGAAAGTAACAGAAAACTCAAAATAGAATAGGATAGTGAGCGGAATCCAGCATCTAATGCTTCCAGTTTGTAGCATATTGAAAAACGTCTTCCGCGAAATTTATTTCCTTTGGCAGAATGATGATGATTGTCAAAAATGTTGGGCAAATTGTACACTGAAAAGGGTAGAAAAAGGAGCAGAAAGAGATAGAAAAGTATAAAGAAAAGACGAAGGGAGAGAAATAAAAAGCCTGCCTCTTATTGACATGTAGAATGTAAATGTTTGATCTGATAACGATATTTTTTATGCTAATGAAAGAACTGGTAATTTCATGAACTCGATTTTAAAATAATATCAATACAAAATAATTTAATTTCGAAACAAAAAGACTCAAAGTTACGTCACTACCACGTTTTTGTGGTATATCCTTTGTATGTAAGCATTGTGTAAGCATTATTTGTGGAAGTGAGATTTATTTTTATTGTATGTTTCTATCTTTGTATATCATGTAACTTTTATTATGCATAAAATTACAAAAATAATGAAGCAGCTTAAGCAACATTTTAAATTTTGTGCTGTAATGTGGCCTGCAACGACAAAATGACCGATTACTCAATACGTAACTGTAGTGATTTTTTGGTGTCGCGGTGTTACATATCCATGTAATGCATTATGGCCGGGCGCGCAGGGCTGATGCACTTGCTCAGAGTGAACGATCGGAAGGGGGCGCTGTTACAAATTTACAGGCAGGACTTATAATCTCAATGGGCCGCGACATGATCATACTTTACGCGTAACGCGTGGATATGGACACAGCATGTAGCACCATGCAGGGCGCCGCCTTTGCGCCTAGCCCAGCCTAGCCTAGCTCGAACAGTGAAGTGCTTGACATGCCCGAGTGGCTCCGACCTGGCGCCAAAGTTCAGCACTTAAACGCTATGTTAAAACTCGACGTGAGGTATCAAAATAACCCGAGGAAACATTTAGGACTGCACTTGTGCTCCCTTGAAATTTTTGAGACTTTTGTTTGCTGAAGAGTAAGTTCAACTTCAATGCTCTTATTCTTTCATGGTTCAACTTCAAGTTTTTGCATGAGATACCCCTCAGAACTGCGGGGTCTGACGTCCGCTCCGACAGTTCTGGGGGTAGGCCTGTGCATGAGGTAGGCGAGTTAACGTTAGTTACGCAGCAGTGGCGTAACTACCGGGGGGGGGGGAGGGGACATGTCCCTCCCCCCGTAAGCAGGTACATGTACCGGTAAATCTTTGCAACGGTGTACAATCTCGTTTTCACGAAAGCATGGGGAGTGAAAACAAACTTGTATGAACAAGGAGACCTAGGTACGCACGGTATCGCCGGACGTGCAAGATAGTAGATAAATATTTTTTTTTTTTACCCCTCGCCGGCAAGGGTGGAAATCCGGGGGGGGGACACATCCCCCCATGAATTTGGTATGGGGGGACACAATGTCGATGTCCCCTCCATGTTTTAAGCAAAACAAAATACTAAAGGACTTGATGGATCGAGGATTTCCCCTTTTGAGTTTTTACAAATGGAATAAGATAATAAACACGGTGTGCACCCCAAAGTGTAAATTGATGTCCCCCCACAATCCGAGGAGAGATTTCCACCCATACTCGCCAGGTGATTTTTCCTAAATATTACTTGAGGAAGACCAAGGTAAATTCCAATATGTTTCATGGGGTGGTTTTAGTTAGAAACTGTTTTTCTAAAAATTATCGAACATGATGGGACAGCCCAATGTCAAATCTCCATAGGCAGACTCCACAAGGGAGAAGTTCATTGCGTGACCTTTTACTTTCAGGCTCTATTTTGTGTCCTCTAACTGCTTTAGAGTTAGTCTGTTGGCCCACAGAAGTTTAACTACATTCTGGAATTTCATCTCTAGTTTTAATAGACTTGGGGGGGGGGTGAGTTGAGGGGCTACACCATTAATATTTGTTCCTCAATACCCAGTCAACCAGTAGGCCTGATAGACTCCAACCATCTATCAAAAGAGAGAATTTGACTTGAAAATGTGGAATTCTCACCAGTTTTGGCAATTGAAGACATACATACATGTACATTTAGTAGCAGGTTCTAAAAGTAAGGATTGCCCTCCACACGTTTAAGTTTTTATACAGCATCAGCATATGAGAAACAACTTAAACTTTTCTCCAGACAACACAAGTTTTTCACAAGCTGATTGGACTTGTCTTTGATGTAGTGTGGGATGGAATTTGCATTGTCTGTTGGCAAACACTCATAGAAATGGCACGCTCCTTCAGGTGGAGAAATGCCTGCTTGTTGTACATGTAGGTGACAAGGACTTCCTGATTATATATAACGGGTTTGCCCTTACCCAATGTATATTAATAAGCACTGTATGCTCAGTGCTTGTACGAGAGCTTGCAAAAAAACCTTACAAGCTTACTTGGGTGGGACTCGAACCCACGACCTCCTGCTTACTAGTGCC